CCACCCGTTGGAAACAAGACAGCGCGGATTACCGGATACCGCTCGCAGCAGGAATTTATCACCTGCGAGGCCTGCAATGCAACGAGTACAGCCCCGGTATTATTTATTGTGACATCGGAAGAATTGCAGATGGGGATTGCTCCGGCTATCCAGTCCACAAAGAAATATTACGACGCACTCGTAGATCTTGTAATATTTTGTGCTTTATATGGCGTACAAAATTGGTCACGGAAAGAAATAAAAAGATTTCATTCAAAAATGTCATCATGAAATAAATAATAATTTAATAGATTTTAGAAACTTCCATTTACGTCACTTGAGTGAACTTAATTTCCTGTTTGTATCACTTCTATAGTTGTACCCCGCATGTAGCGAGTCTCATTTGCAACCCATTGTTCTCAATATTCGATTTGCCGATCGCAGCAGCAGGTCTAATTAATATCATTTCACCAAGAAATTATTGATGCATCATCTCAAATGTTGTTATTACTTTTTAATTTATCAACTTATTAAAAATAATAATTCGTGAAGTTTAATGGACACAAAAACAAGGTATCATGGTAAACTAGATGAAGGTTTTCGAACCCCTCGGGGAAGGGTTGCAAAAACATGAATTCTAGCGTTGATTAAAATTTTAACGCGACAACCTGAAATTCCACGTATAGCCGGGTTATTTACTTGTGCACTTCCGGAGTGTGTCCAAAGTAAATTATGTAACTACGTGAAAGCAAGTTGTAAAACGAGAACTGTAAAAAATGCCGAGTTTTTATTTGCTGAAACTGAATTAAAAGAGATACACGCGAGATGTAAAAATGAGTGCTGAAAATTGCATTCAAACTTTGGTTATTTCGCTCCGGCTTCTCCCCTTTCGGTAATGAATTGAACTGGTCTAATTTTTTAATGGGCCTTTTCTCATTAGCGTAACTTCGACGGCTACTTCATCAACTTCCACTTGATTGATTATGAATACTCAGCAGGATCGTTCGATTTTGCGATAAAGGTAGCTTTAACGATGTTATTCACTAAAGCAATTATATTCTATCATAGTTATGTATCGTAGCTTTTTGAAAATAAAAGTTGTAAATCTCAAAAAGGGCTTGGTGATTGTATATTATCCTATTAAATCATTTGCGTCTAATCGACAGCGGATGTGTCTAATGCAGCGTCATCAGCAATTTGGATCGTGCCAAGTTTGCGTGATTCCATTAGATTTTCTTCGAGGCTCTTTTAGCTATTTATCCAATTAGAAACCTTGCTAGAGGCACGAGCCATATTATGCCATTAAAGTCGATCGAAACTCCGAGGCGTTTATTAAGCGAATATTTTCAGGGATTTTGAAAGAATATTCCCAACAGTAAATTGCCGCGATTTATGCTGTCCCGTGTCTCGGAAGGTTTTTCCCGCACCCTGTTTTATCGATGAGTCTGCATAAATAATCTGTAAGTACGAGTCGGGCATAAATCTGAATAAGCTGTCCTCCCGTATTTCTTTATTATTTAGCGCGAGCTCCGAGTCGCCGTGTACCGCTTTATTTCGCACTTTAAGAACATTGAAATTTACTGCAAATGCGCTTTCGTTGGCGACGGGGGCGGCAGTCGGCTTATTAGATTTGTTTCAAGGACCCGCCCACCGCGTTTCGTTTCGGCGAGATATTTCAGTACCGACTATAAAACTTTTCAGGAAACTTTTCCGGATTACACGTTGTCGCGTAAATTTTACATTCAAATTTCGACACAATTGTTAAAACTTTAAAGTTTGTTTATAATTCTCTAATCTAACTTGCCGGAATTTAAAGATATGGAACAATACGAATTGTTATTTCGTATTTCTCGTTATGGTAATCTAAAAGCTAAAGAAACTATGTTTATGGTACTCTACTTTACCTTTTAATTCGGAGAAGTAAAATAAAAAGTCACGTTTACACAGTGTAATTTGCACAGTGAAGGCAGTGTCCGTTATAGCCCAATAAAAATATACAATAATCTAGCGCTCAATAACAAATAAAACTAGACTAATAATAGACTAGCACTAGAACTAACACTAGACCTAGAAACATTCCGTTTAGCCGTACCTCTCTTAAAACTAAAACTAACACTAGCGTTACACGTATTGCACTAGCACTACTACTAGAACCCAAATGATTATAGTTCTAGGAATAATGTTAGTTCTACTTTTATTTCAGTAAGAATAGATAATAATTTAGCGCTTAATAACAATTAAAACTAGAACTAACACTAGATCTAGAACTAGAAAGTTTCGGGTTTAGCCGTGCGTCTTCAGACTAGTTTTACACTACCACTATCACTAGAACTAACACTAGACCTAGAACTAGAATCATTCGGGCTTAGCCGTCTTGAAAGACTTGCGGCTAAACCCAAATGTCTCTAGTTCTAGGTCTAGTGTTAGTTCTAGTTTTACACTAACACTATCACTAGAACTAACAGAAAACCTAGAACTAGAATCATTCGGGTTTAGCCATCTTTAGAGACGTGCGGCTAAATCCAAATGATTCTACTTCTAGGTATAGTGTTAATTCTACTTTTATTTCAGTAAGAATAGACAACAATTTAGCGCTTAATAACAATTAAAACTAGAACTAACACTAAACCTAGAACTAGAATCATTCGGGCTTAGCCGTCTTAAAAGACTTGCGGCTAAACCCGAATGTTTCTAGTTCTCGGTCTAGTGTTAGTTCTAGTTTTACACTAAGGCCCGTTAGTACCAAACTAATGCTATCTGTCAGTTAAGCTATCTATAAGATACAATTTATCTCGTAGATAACAGGGTCGTGCGTACTATCACCTCCATTTATCTCATAGTTAAGAAATCCTTGAGATAACCAAGGAATCTAGTAATTTTTTGGTCTATTATGTTAAATTGACAGCTCTATGTGGTCAAAAGACCTACTATTAGGTAGAAAAATTTGTTCTTCATCTCCAATGTCGAAGAAATTATCCATGATGATTTTATCCTATTAAGATTTTATTCCTACTATTATAAATCCTATTTGAGGTTAGGTTATCCCTTAGATAGCAACTTATCCGACACCCAATCCACGGGTTACAGATATTTCAAAAGTTATCCCTTGGATAGCGGTATCTATAAGATAAATACAGTGGTAGTAACCAATATTTAAGCTATGCGATAGATAACGCTAGTTTCGCGAGTTTTACACAAGCACTATCACTAGAACTATCTCATAAAATATTACTACGTTGTATATTTTTATTGAACTAAAACTAGAACTAACACTAGATTTAGTAATTTGTTTAAAACTGACCAATAGCAACCCTTCTTTATGGCGCTTCAATTTGAAAACACTCCTCCGAATTAAAAAATAGAGTATAACTTAACCATTAAATTCGAACTACTACGACTACCATCATCATTACGCTTATTTCATTTATTCTGTTTTTGCATATTATAAAAAAGGGTCTAGAAAATACGGCCCAGTTAATTAGTAACATGTCACTCCAACGTCACTTTGACAAATGGTTGGACAAATTGCTCCGGTATCACGCGACAGCCTCGTTTCAACTTATTATCTTGGTAAATTGCTAACAGGGCAATTGGTATTAAGGATGGTGATGAAGGGCAAAACTTTTTTAGGCGGATTTAACTCGTTCAAATGACTTTGAGAGGACGGTGCAGATGTTTTCGTAAAAGAAGAATCGGTTTTATAGTACGCGTTTTGGTGCACCAATAATTCATTTGAATTGTTAATGGCTATTGTTCTGGCGTGGAACAATGGGGCGTCGCATAAAAATGGCCTTTATAGGCTCTGAATGCCGCCTATTCCTTACCAGTGTCTCTCAAACTTTTAGGGCATTGTATTGTGGGTCTCTTTGTGATGTGAATGATGTGGTACGTTCTGAAAGCTTATTGACATATTACAAGTTAAACACCTCCATTTATGCTTTAGCAATTATTCTCAACGACGACGCGACGTGTACATTATACAATTTTTTTTCATCATTTTAACGCGATTTGACGTTCGCTGATGTACGAAGATAATGCGTTTCAACTTTAGCGTACCGTTAGACCTTTGCTGCATATTGTTTCCTCAATTCACCTTGAACATCAGCGGCGCATGACATGATGACGACCATATGGGTGATCCACCACGGTTTGCTTGATGTGAAACGGTAACACACATTCTTTTTATTTATTACAGTAACAAAATGGTAATAGCTTCTTTTTAAACGATGTGTGAAGAAGTGACGTCATTATTGTCGTTTCGATTTGTTGTTCGTCACCATATGGCTGTAGGCGATTTTATGGCATCGTTAGCGCCGTGACCCACTCTTCGTCGTCGGAAGTGTCACTTCAGCCTACTTTTCGACGGTTGATGACGGCAAACGGAGTGTCGCTCGTTAAGCCGGAGATAAGTCGGAAAACAAACGTTAATTTGTAACCATAAGGATAAGTAGTGCATTATGTAAATTAGGAATGCTACGAGGTGCATTCCGTTCTTATGAACCGCCGGCGGAATTGGTTAGAGACCAGTTCTGCTTCAACAGATCTCGGTTGGTGGTCACGAGAAATGGTTAGAAGACTATGTTTTAATAAACGATGTCGCATTTTTATATAGCATTGAAAAAGGACTCTTGGTTTGACCTTCCAATAAATTCTGTAAAATTCAAAATAAATTAGAAAAGTGTTTTATATAAATTTAAAACTGCACAACATTTATCTAATACACCGTCATTAATCAGGTTGACGCCTTCTACCACCTTCTCTTCCGTTGCATCCAAAATAAATCCAAGCCTTCAGGGATAGAATCGACGTGTTCCAATAAATCAATGTGACACGTCATTTCTCAGCGGCTGTCCTTGCGAGGCAAAGCCTCACTTTGCGCGGGCGAAAAATACAAAACTTAAGTCCACATCTCGTTAGGTTAGTGTCCGGAAACGCGATTAGATCTCCTATTAAAACCACCAAATCCCACATCTTCACTTCCCCCCCCCGTTTCCACTTCGACAATCGCAATTCTACCCCATTAATTGTGTTCGTGTTCAGTTTGATTAGCAGGAAACCGAGTGCCATTTGAACTGCGACTTGGCGCATCCGACTCTATTCAAATCAAATTCGTTTAAAGTATAACAATTTAATTAGTTTAAGACTTACGAAAATCGCGTGGGAAGCTCGGAATAGTCTACTTCCAAATTAAATTAAGGTTGAAATAGCATCCCCACGGGTTGTCCTATTTAAGAAAAGAGAAAAGGTGTTCGTTCGAGACGGTGGATTCGAACGCCTTAGAAGAATGAAAACGGTAACAAAAACCTTTTCAACCAGGCGTAACGGAAGCAGGAAATGCAGGAAGGAGCAGCAGATGGAACAGTAAAAGGACTAAAGGTCGGCGCGAAATGTTAATCAAGCCGAATAACAGACGGTTCACTTTTTTACTTTAAATAAAATAGAATTCACAAAATAACGCAATACAAATTTATTTTAATTAAAAACCATTTTTTGGGATATATGGATTTTTTTAGGCATTAATTTTTGTTCGGCATAATATCGACGCGCTTCTGGAAGGTTTCGGGAAATAGGCCGTCGTGATTTCCATATAAATTGCATCTGCTAGGGCGAGGACGCAGAAGGGTTAGCTCTAGCTCGTTTAAAGGAAACCCCACTTCCCCAGGTTAATAGAATAAAGTCCCAGCTCCGAGATTTCATGGTTATAAAGCAGCTGTGTTTATTTCCATTGTTCCAATACAATACAGTAACAATATTAACACCGCAAATTACCTCAATTTTATGTTAATGTGACACTAGGCGAACGAAATTTGCTAAAAAAAAGTTTGTTAAACTTAATCGAGTACGAAAGAAATCTCATTCGATTTCAAATCCCGACTCTAACGCGTTGAGACTTTAATCCAAACCCGTTTGACAATAATGAGATGGTCCCGAACTCAGGAGATGCTTACAGCCAATCGGCAACAAAATCCTTTAGAAACTCGAAAACTATATGGCAGTTTCCAATATCGATTGATGTCATTCAATGTTGAGACTGCATCCAGAAATGCTTGCTGAGTAGACTCGTCGAATTAATTGCTCACAACGAGTTCATTCCAGTTTAAACTCGATATTTAAAGCCATTCATCTCATATGCCATCGCATTTCACGCTATTTATTGATTTTCCCGCTTATCATAATTAATGAAATTTTTAAATCCGTAAAACCATACCTCGGTGTAGCTTTATTACTCGGAAACATGACGAGCATTCCATCGTTGATATTAAAACAGCCCCTTTATGTAATCCCTTTATAACGCACAGATAAAACAAAAAGGCATCAAAGAGAAATGTTTTTCACATTCACACAATGGTTAAGCATCGCCATCGTGTACTTAACGTTACATTGTGACCGTCCGAAATAAGCTTCCCTTCCTAACAAGTTGGGTTATAAATAAGCAATTTCCGGGTGTAATTAGCTGGTTCAGTGAGCAAAACGCGAGATTGCGCTTTTCAAACGTTATCTTACGCCAGCCAATTCTAACCGAATTAATCCCACTGACAAAGACTTAGAAGTTCTCGTCAAATTTCTATAATAAGAATGATACAAACTGGGAGCTTATTGTGTCAAAGTTTCATTTTACCTGCGCATCCACCATAATTATTTCAGATATAACAACATCATAAATCTCTCAATTTCTCAAAGTCTTGTTGTAAAAGTGTCTACAAAATAGTTTGATATCTTTAAGGCTTTAAATCCATTTTTCTTGAAATTCCATCGGACCTTAGGGGGCACCCTAGTGTCTTTAGTTACTATAAGGCGCGTGACGCGTTAAGACAACCGTAAGTCCGCTCATAACTCACGATTCTCGCTCAAATTTATCCGGGAAAACACGAGGGGAAATGAAATTCTACGGGAGATATACGGATTTACTCGACGGTTCTGCCTCGTAACGACTAAAACTGAATAGTCATGGGTTTTCCGCTTCTGTATTCAACGCGACATCTGCCGAATAAACGATCCAGATTAACCACCCCTAAAGCTTTTTGAAATGTACCGAAAATTGATACGAGAGAGCATGTTGTTAAATCCCTTTGTAATCCATGCCATGTAAATAAAGTGGGTTTAAATAATGTAGTAAGTTATTAAGAATTGTTAATTGAAACGAAAACAATTTTTCAACGGTTTAATTAAAATTGTAATAACCGGAAATTAATGTGTAATTTATATTTTAATTAAGAGAAATTGTTTTATCATCATTTAAGGTTCATGGCAAACTTGCTTTTTCAGGAAGACAGACTATTAACCACTTGTCAGGTTACCACACATAATGTGCCCAACACTTCAAAAACGTTAAACTTTTTTTACCATTGCCAAATTTAATTTGTGTGTACTCGTCGTGTTCTTTATGCCAGTCTGCACATTTTAAGAAAAAAAAATTATGAGAAGGAAAAGTTCTGATTTTGGAAGCTAAGAGCTCGGCGTTGATAAATTCTGTGCAAATAAAAATAGGCATATAGTAGTTAACTTTTTTTTGTCATTACCAAATTTGATTTGCGTGTGCTTGTTTTCACCAACCTCTAGAAGTATGCATAAAGGGAGCGAGGAAAAGAAGGTACAGAAAAATAATAGAACATAATTGGACACACATTTGGGCAGATTGGTCGAGAGAGGGGATACAACATTATAGGGGTAAGTTAGCAAACTGGGGTCAGAGGGTGGAGGGGGGCGACGCAACAGGTTGAATGAACTGATTGGGTGGTTGGGAGGCGACGTTGAAGGAAGAGAGTGGGCGACAAGTTAGACTGGGAAGGAACGAATGGTGGGATAAGGAATGCAGAGAGGTGAAGAGAGAAGCTAGAAGGAAATTGAGAGAGTGGCAGAAAGGGGAGGTAGGGATAGATAAATATATAGAGGCCAGGAGAAAATACAAAGAAGAGTGTAAGAAAAAGAGGAAGGAGGCTTAGAACTTAAAGAGGATGAGGAAGGGAAGACAGGAAGTCAGCAGAGATATACAAATGGAATGGGAGAGAGAGAACGAGGGGTGCACACTGGAAGAAGTGGAAGCAGTGTTGGGGGGACCGAAGAGGGGAAGGGCGCCAGGAGAGGATGAAATCCAGAATGAGGCATGGTTGGAGCCGACAGAGACAGTGAAGAAGAAGCTATGGACAGTAATAAACGACGAAGAGGGGCAATTGACAATCTATGCATATTGAAACACCTGACAGATAGGGAGTTGAACAAGAAGGGAAGAAAGTTGTATGCATTGTTCATAGAAGTATGGGGATGGTGAGAACAAAGATTGCTGAAGGATGTACAAACAAGGTAATGGAGATGGGTACCAGGGTTGGCGAGGGAGACTCCATCGTATGGAGTGAGGGATGAGATTAAGGTGGGTGTAGTAAGGGTGGAGGCTGGGAGAAGAGCAGTGAAATACAAGGAAGACCGCATTGCAGGATCCTGGGAGAGTGCTGGAGGGAAATTAAGGAAAGGAGACTGATATATGGGCAAGGAGATAGGGAAGGATATTATAGGAGAGTGGGATATTTACTTACTGGGATCGACAACAGAAGAGTGGAGAGAGTAGCTATATCCGTTAGACCATGTATTGATCCTCTAGTCTCTATCTTCAAATCCTTCAGTGGAGCTTTTTTTATTCTATCTGACCTTATTGTGCCAATGCAATTTATGTTGTATGATTGAAATGTATGCTGCAATATCAGCGAGTTGAAGGAATTGTCCACATATACAGTGCTTTGTTTAGGTATATAGTCTAAGCAGAGCTTTTCGCATACACTAAAGCCCAAAGTCCTTCCTTGAATTTTATCACCATCTCCACAATACGGACTAAATTTGCTATTTTGCTATGATGCCCATAATACGGTTCTCTTGCTTCATCTACAGAAAATGATGTACCTAGGGGCTGGAAGATTTTCTGTGATTGATTATTTACGTGATCCAGTAGTGGGTGAATTTTGTAAAGTTTGTTTCCAGGATCAATATTGGAATTGTCATCAGTGCAGCTATTTGTGAAGAAGCTCAAATCTATTACGTGAAATGCTATTACTCACCAAACTGTTGGAAGTGTCAGCCTTAGATTCCCAATACAGTCTACGATTTGTTATAATATTATATATATTATATAGCAAAATATTTATATAGCTCATCTGTCGTGACGCGAAAGTCGTGGACACCTTTGAAAGCTGCATATTTCTCCATTTCAGGAATTCTTTTCAATTCTTTCTTGAAGAGCATAGCTAAAGGGATATTCATATCGTCATCATCATCAGATGTAATTTTTGATGTCTTGTGCAGTAGCAGTTCATCCTTCTCATTGTCATGATTTATACTAAAAATTTCCATGGAGCCTCTTAGAACACCTTTGCCAATTGTTCTAACGAAGCTTCATTTTCTTCATCACTTGATGCATCATCTATATCTGTATCTGTTCCCAAATCATGTCATTAAGTTCCCAGAAGATTCAATCCACATAAAGAAATATGCGAAAATTGAGATCAAGGCGTGAGGTTGACTTGTAAATTTTTTTGCCATTGCCAAATTAGATTTGCGTATACTCGTTGTACTTCTAAAGTCATTTTGTGCCTTTTAAAACAAAATAAATTTCTATAAAATGATTTTTAGAAAATGGTGGATGCGCCGGTACACATAAAAATATTGATTAAAATGTATAACAAGATATATATCCAATACCCCTTCGAGCTAATCAAACGCTAAATTCCAAGCACATTCCATACGCCGTCGACAGCAACAGCATAACAAGTACGTGGTCGTACTTTATAAACATTCCGCGCATCGAAGCCCACGATTGCAACGTGCACTATACCCTATGAAACTAGGAACACCATCCGTTGCATACTTTATCAATTACCACCACCAAAATTGTGTCACGCCACTTGACAGGGCACGTCGGAAACCGACTCGGGAGAACGTTAACTTTCCCAGACACATATCCGGCGAGGCGCGAGACGTTTAAAAGCAATAAACTTGACAGGACTGCCACCCCGCCAACCGTCTGACCCTTCATCGTTAGCGACGTACTCGCACCATGCAAATCGAAATGGTCGTTTTACAAGCCATTTAACGTTAGCAAAACGACTTGAAATATTAAATCCCCAATTGGAGACGTAAAACGTGAAACGACAATTCGAGATCGGAGCGTTAAAGTAGTCGAGCTATTAAAGGATTTAAAGGGTTAAGCGATGACTTACCGTTGCTGCTCAGCACCGTATACCTCAGGAGGAGACGTCCCGAACCCCATCGTTGAAGGATTTCTAAAGGGTGTTCCGATTCTTGCAAGAGACGCTCTGAAATTAAATAAAGTTAATGTAAAGAATTAATTTTATTTATTTTAAACCCGGCTCCTCCACCATTATTTGCAGCGCATTGAGTATAAAATTAACATCAACAAAGAAGTTAAAAAAACCCATTCGCAGGAAATAGGAAAATTGTACTGGCAACAATGACGAAAAAAAAAATAACCCAACTGAAATCGAGCTTTCCCCAAAAACCCCCGCCACAATTGACCTATAGGATGAAAATGCCGTGGACCATTGTCGAAGCTCGCTGACAATTTAATCTTCGCCAAATTATTCCAGCTCGGCGAAACAGTGAATTCAATTCCGATTTTTATGTCGGGAATAAAAAATTTAAATCATTTTTTTTCTCGATGTTTTAAAATTTGAAACAATTCCCTTCAAGAATTAACTCACCCTTTTTATTTTCGCCCTCTTTCCCAAATTTTGTCTCGCTATTCGTTACGACCATCATTGTTACGAGACAAGTTCAAACACGCGACAAAAACTAACTGACGTGTAAAATGGCGATGATGGTGCGGGAAGCACACAACCACCTCCACCATACCTTCTATATCGATTTGAAATTGTTAATTCCCCGTTTGAATAAATGATGACACACGCCAAGTGGAGTCTAGGCAAGTCGGGGGGCAAGTCGCCGGTGCATGAATGTTTCACCAAGCGGCGCTATTACGATCGGCTGTGGCATGTTCCACACGCAGAAATTGAATTAGGAGGCATAAACGATGAATAATTTGTGGATGTGAACCGAGTAAGTCTATAAAACCATGTTTCGTTAGTGAGTAGGCAGCCCATATTACTTGGAAAATTTTTATTTTAAGTTTTTCTTAAGATGAAATAGAATTACAAATAAAATTAGTGTTGTGCTTAAAAACGTTGATGGTTAGACGTATAAGGGATCCGTATAACAATCGTAGAATTAACGGTGCTACAGTTTGGTATTTATGTGGCTCTTGTTACTCTCTCTGGGAAGATCCAGCTCGTTCCACGCCAGTTTCCTGTTGGATACACGGGTAATTACGTTGCTTTTGTCGCATTTCGGGTCGGGATACACACGTTTACTGTAACGTATTGTCCTGTCAGTTTGTTGGGAAGTTACAACATCTCTCCGTGACCTATACTTAAACCATTTAATTTTCGACAAAGTATTTAAATTCGTTTTATGCATATATGTAAAAAGAAAATTCATTAAAAACTCAAATAATAAACAATAAATAATTTAACTGTTTAGTTTTAAAAATTCAATTTAAATTTTAATTTAGACTTGACAACGTCGCTAGTCAAGTCTTAACGAACATGAGAGTGTTCAGGGTAATAGCCGGTTTGAGTTAACTCATAAACAAATCTTTAAAGTAAAATTCAACGAATTAACTGCGATTAATTGATAACAAATTAACTAAATTTAAGTTAATACGAAGAGTAGTGGTTTTATTATTCCATCAAATTGAGAAAAATAACTTGTTTATGTAGTAACAAAACAACAAAAAAAAAAAAAAAATAAGAAGAAATGAGGGAAGAACTACGACAAGAATCATCCGTAGTAAAGAAAAGAAAAGAATTACCAACAAGAAAAAAGAAGAAAAAAAAAAAAACTACTCAGCAAGGATCAGCAAGAAGAACAAAAAAAATGTTTCTTCACCAGGGTTGTAGGATAATGAAGTCCATGATACGGAATTCTGGGATTATCAGGAACAAAATGACGTTTCATTAAGGTTATTATTTCTTTTCTTTTTTCTTTGTATCAGAGATATTCTTCAAATAACTTTTTTTTTGAGGTTATGTCATCACTTTTGACATAACCTAAAACGTTGTTTATAATGTACGAGGAGACAAAATTTGCGTGCGTCCTCCCTCAAGTTCAAAATCACACTAAAATTTAAAATTTTCCTTTGTTTAATGTTGAAATCGAAAAATACTGTTCCCTGATTGGTCAATTCCATGAACTTGAAATTCGTTTTTAAAATTTTCCAATATTACCAACCTTAACATTTGAAATGTCACTAATTTAATTTGTTTAAATATTATTTAATTTTTTTTTTAATAACTATATTTATGTATGAAATCTTGTAGTTTTAATGCTTCTTTAAATTGCTTTTCAGATATCTAATCATTTTCTTCTAAATTCAATGGCTAAATTCCCAAAATGTTAAAATCTTGAGATTACGAATTTTCATCTAAAATTTCATTAATCACATAAAGGACGGCTGTTTTCCATTCTTATTATGCTAAGATTATCATTTTCAATAGCCTTAACCGGATAAATAAGGATTTGAATAAGAAATTGAGAAAAAAATCAATTTGAGGTTATCTATCTGTCAAAATTACTTCGTATCGATTTTACGAGTTATACAGGGTGATTCATAAAAATCGACAAAGGGCAGGGATATGTAAAGGACACTAAATTAAGATGATTTAACGTAACTTACCTCTACACTAATTTGTACACCTAAGGAGTTATAGGCCTTCAAAGTTGGTTCTTAAATATTTGAAAATCTTTGTAATACATTAAGCTAGAAAAACCAAATTTGGTATACTAATAATTTGGCATTGATTGAACCTTTTGGCGGATTTAATACATTACTACTTCATTTCATGTAGAATTTAATTCTAAAACTTTTCTTACTCTTATTATTTTTTAAAAAACTTTGTCGTTTTCATAAAAAACTTAAATAACTAAAGACACGTATTTCGTAATGTTAGGTACTTAAAATAAAATAGGTTATAAAGTTATTTGACGACAAGGTTTTATACAAGGAATTTACCTCCATGATTAGGACACGTTGCAACTAATTCACAAGATTCATCCCCTGGGTCTCTACAGCACTCAATAACATCCGAACTGGTCGTTTCTGGCGTTACTGGAACATCAGTCAAAACTCCATCGCCAAAGACTCGTACGATCATCTATAAGAAAAAAGAAATGTTTAATTATTATGATTATCAATAAATTAAATTCGATTAAATAGTTTATCTTGCTATCAAGATCTACCGCATGGGTGCGCAAAGCCATTTAGGTTGATTTGAATATATCGAGAACATTATCCCTCCAAGTTGGATAGATTACCTGGCCGCAATCGATATAGAAATAACGTTCACCGCGGGTATTAGAAATCGGTTACGTAGGGGTGAAATATAGAGGCGCTATGGGGTGCTGCTCCTCTATGAATTAGTCATTAGGGCGTGCCTAACGATTACGACCCCACACCAAGTCGTAAATTCAACCGTTTTATTATGTCGTCGATTTCGTGAAATGTTTTCGACCCGAAACGTGCGATGTAGACATCGTAATAAAACATAATTGCGTCCTGTCCGATGCACAAAAGCATCAATGTTTTTTAAATTTCTTTTACAACTGACGCGAATCCGCTAATTGCGTCGCGTGGCGTATTGAAATGTTATAAATCTTCAATATAAAAATATAATTTTAAAATTTTAAAATAATAATTAATTTCTTCTTCTTGTTTCTCCACTCAGGCTTAAAGCCTATTCTTCGTTAATGACAAACAATTCAAAATCGAAATTGAAACAAATTTTATTTAAAACATTTTTGGATTAAAACAATAATTATCAAGATAATTAATTTTGATAGCATACTATTCAGAGGGAAATTAAAATTTAAAGTTAGCAAAAAATTGTATTAACAAACACTGTTCCTGAAGTAATTCTAAACAAATTTTGTTAACAACATTTTTTGATTAAATCAACAATAAGGATATAACCTCAAAAATATTAATTTTTGTAGCATACTGTTCAGTGGGAAATTAAAATTTCAAGTTAGAAAAAAATTGTTTTAACAAACACTGTTCCTGAAGCAATTCTTAACAAACATTGTTAACAAAATTTTTTGATTTAATCAATAATTAAGGAGATAACCTCAAAATAATAATTTTTCCGTTTTTATACATAATTATACTTAGATGCTTAATTAATAGAGATGTAAAAATTTTTTATTAAGATAATTGATTCAAAATCGAAATTGAAACAAATTTTATTTAAAACATTTTTTAATAAAAACAATAATTATTGAGATAATTAATTTTGATAGCATACTATTCAGAGGGAAATTAAAATTTCAAGTTAGCAAAAAATTGTATTAACAAACACTGTTCCTGAAGTAATTCTAAACAAATTTTGTTAACAACATTTTTTGATTAAATCAACAATAAGGATATAACCTCAAAAATATTAATTTTTGTAGCATACTGTTCAGTGGGAAATTAAAATTTCAAGTTAGAAAAAAATTGTGTTAACAAAAATTGTTCCTGAAACAATTCTAAACAAACTTTGTCAACAATTTTTTTTGATTTAATCAATAATTAAGGAGATAACCTCAAAATAATAATTTTTCCGTTTTTATACATAATTATACTTAGATGCTTAATTAATAGAGATGTAAAAATTTTTTATTAAGATAATTGATTCAAAATCGAAATTGAAACAAATTTTATTTAAAACATTTTTTGATAAAAACAATAATTATTGAGATAATTAATTTTGATAGCATACTATTCAGAGGGAAATTAAAATTTCAAGTTAGCAAAAAATTGTATTAACAAACACTGTTCCTGAAGTAATTCTAAACAAATATTGTTAATAAAATTTTTTGATTTGATCAATAATTAACAACATAACCTCAAAAAAATTTTCATATATATATTTTTATACATTTTTTTATTGAGAAAATCGTTTTAGAATTTAATTTAGAACAACTTTCGTATGAAATGAATATAATTTACATAGATTAACAATTCAATACATAAAACATTTTTAATTTGTAATAGATTTTTAGCAAAATTGTGTAAAACAAATTGTATCTTTTTATAATAAGAAATTCGATGGTCCTGAGGATGGTTCTACTATTGAACCGAAACCGGTAGAATTAAAAACAAATAATCCATTTTTTAATAAAAGTACAAACAGAAGATATTTTATTTAATTATTTAATTTGGTTTTAGGTCCAAATTCATCGTGCGAAGATAGCGACACCGAATCCGAACCGGGGATTCCCTTAAAACGGAAACAACGCCGATCAAGAACAACGTTCACCGGGGAGCAATTAGAAGCTTTAGAACGAGCTTTCGGGCGCACTCAATACCCCGATGTTTACACCCGCGAAGAATTAGCCCAAAAAACGAAATTAACCGAGGCTCGCGTCCAAGTGTGGTTCTCGAATCGCCGCGCGCGTCTGCGTAAACAATTAAACTCCCAACAATTAAACGCTTTCAACACGATGTCGTTGCAACCCGCTTTTCCTATTCAACACCATCAATATCCCGATACGAGTTCGTTTAATCAAAACGGTTGGGGGCATCAGCAAAGTTACGCGACGCATTCGGCTTTGGCTACCGCGTTGCAATCCGCGGCGATCGCTTCTTCCGGTTCCGGAACGGCGAGTGTTGGTGGTGCGGCTTTGGGGGATTCCCCGAGTCATTCTTCTAATAACGCGAATTCGCCGAGCGCGCAAAATTCTTTGTATAATGCTTATAATAATTTGGAACAAAACAATTTAAACCATCATCAATTTGGGTATAATATGCCGGAAGTGTCGCCGGGTTCGAGTCAACACGGGATCGCGCCGCAACAAAGTTCCGTTTGGACGAGACATCAAAGCAATAAGATGGGGGAAAATTTAAGTTCTTGGCATGAAAATTATAGGTAAGAGAATTGTTGAAATGTTATATCATAAAGCAATCCCGATCAAGCAATTAAAGCAATCAAGAGTGCGTTATTATATATATATTAGCTAATAGTAAAACAAGGAAATTTAGTACATTTTCATATTTTTGTATTTTTCTCGATATCGACGCATCTGAGAGCAAAAATGCAAGAGAGCAATATTGTTAAGAATAAAATTTGCTACAACTTTTGATCTAAAAGTTTCTTTGTAATATGCTTCGATTCCCGAATGTTACCATTAGCTAATAGTAAAACAAGGAAATTTAGTAAATTTTCATATTTTTGTATTTTTCTCGATATTGACGCATCTGAGAGCAAAAATGCAAGAGAGCAATATTGTTAAGAATAAAATTTGCTACAACTTTTGCTCCAAAAGTTTTTTTGTAATATGCTTCGATTCCCGAATGTTACCATTAGCTAATAGTAAAACAAGGAAATTTAGTAAATTTTCATATTTTTGTATTTTTCTATATTGACGCATCTGAGAGCAAAAATGGAAGAGAGCGATATTGTTAAGAATAAAATTTGCGACAACTTTTGATCTAAAAGTTTTTTTGTAACATGTTTCGATTACCGAATGTTACCATTAGCTAATAGTAAAAGAAAAAAATGTGGTAAATTTTCATATTTTCGTATTTTTCTCGCTATTGACACATTTAAGAGCAAAAATGAAAGAGACCAATGTTGTTAAGAATAAAATTTGCTACAACTTTTGATCTAAAAGTTTTTTTGTAATATGCTTCGATTCGATATTGACGCATCTGAGAGCAAAAATGCAAGAGAGCAATATTGTTAAGAATAAAATTTGCTACAACTTTTGATATAAATAAAAAATAATAAAACTGGCGATTAGAATTAGAATTAATTTAATTTTTCTTTTTATAGTTTATTTGCTGGAAGTCACTATGGAGCTCATTCCCCAACGGAAGCCAAGTCCGGTTACCCGTACTTTAGCACAATGGACATGTGTACGAGTAGAGTTCATTAATTTTATTATTATTAAACTAAAGTAGCCCCACGCATACACCGCGGACAATGTAAATACAATCGTTGAGAATATTTATTGCTGTGGTCGTTTCTCGGCTTGTAAATGTATATTATTCTTGTGTGTGTGTAACTAACAATCGTCTTTTATAGTCGTCGGATTTGTCGCATACATAGATTTTAAGCGTCGTATTTATGTCCTTTTATTTTCAAAAAAAAATTATTGTAGGTGCAAGAAATAAAATAAATAATAAAAAAATAATTTCGTTTGATTTTTTCCCCAAAGATAATGACATAGAAAAGTACCATAATTTTATTAAAAAAAAAATCCTTTGATATTATGGGTTGGGAAATATGCAATTCACTTGCAATGGAGATGGGACACCTGCAAGACAACATTCCAGGATAATTACGACCAGCACGTGCAAGATTTGACACGCGCCATACCCGATGCTGTTCCGTTCGTGAAGTTATGCGCGGAAAATGTGGTCGGAAAACGAACGAGATTTTTGAAATAATTCCCAAAACTATCCGAACACATTCCAACTTTAAATCGGATAGAATTTATATTGGAAATGTTTTGCAATAATGTTTTATTCTTCGTTTTGTGGGTACTAAGAAAAAACTTGGAGGTGTGCACGAATTTCAATTTCAACCCAAAGTATTAATAATGTTCTTGGAAGCGATAATATTATACCTGAGTATGTGTGCGTTGAAGGAACGAAACGAAAGAGAGAGAGAGTACCATTCCGAGAACTTCTCAAGTATTGTTCTTATACGCGTTGGGAGCCGTACGACGTTTTCTTTGTTGAAATCGAAAAAAAGACTTATTACGAGCTTTTTCGCTACTCCATTAAAATTAATTAAACTTGTTAAACTCCAAATATAGGCTAGAAAAGGCAAAAAGAATGGGGTTACAAGCTTGGTGACATTTCCGTTTGACTGATAACATTTTTAGGACACCCACCGTGGAGGGACCTTCATTGGAGGCCAAGTTTGGGTCGCTACCTTATTGTTGAAGCTTTTGTAACAGGACTTTTGTAAAAAGCCCCCCGGGCAAGATTCAAAAACTACATGCTGTTGACAACTAAAAAATATAAATCTTTTAAACGGTTTCTCCGTTTTTTTTCTACTTAAATTTGACCACCAACAGCTTCAACTTTTTTTTTTCTAACTTAAAATTTTAATTTCCCACTGAACAGTATGCTACAAAAATTAATATTTTTTTGTTAACAGAATTTGTTTAGAATTACTTCAGGAACAGTGTTTGTTAATACAATTTTTTGCTAACTTGAAATTTTAATTTCCCTCTGAATAGTATGCTATCAAAATTAATTATCTCAATAATTATTGTTTTTATCAAAAAATGTTTTAAATAAAATTTGTTTCAATTTCGATTTTGAATCAATTATCTTAATAAAAAATTTTTACATCTCTATTAATTAAGCATCTAAGTATAATTATGTATAAAAACGGAAAAATTATTATTTTGAGGTTATCTCCTTAATTATTGATTAAATCAAAAAAAATTGTTGACAAAGTTTGTTTAGAATTGTTTCAGGAACAATTTTTGTTAACACAATTTTTTTCTAACTTGAAATTTTAATTTCCCACTGAACAGTATGCTACAAAAATTAATATTTTTGAGGTTATATCCTTATTGTTGATTTAATCAAAAAATGTTGTTAACAAAATTTGTTTAGAATTACTTCAGGAACAGTGTTTGTTAATACAATTTTTTGCTAACTTGAAATTTTAATTTCCCTCTGAATAGTATGCTATCAAAATTAATTATCTCAATAATTATTGTTTTTATCAAAAAATGTTTTAAATAAAATTTGTTTCAATTTCGATTTTGAATCAATTATCTTAATAAAAAATTTTTACATCTCTATTAATTAAGCATCTAAGTATAATTATGTATAAAAACGGAAAAATTATTATTTTGAGGTTATCTCCTTAATTATTGATTAAATCAAAAAAAATTGTTGACAAAGTTTGTTTAGAATTGTTTCAGGAACAATTTTTGTTAACACAATTTTTTTCTAACTTGAAATTTTAATTTCCCACTGAACAGTATGCTACAAAAATTAATATTTTTGAGGTTATATCCTTATTGTTGATTTAATCAAAAAATGTTGTTAACAAAATTTGTTTAGAATTACTTCAGGAACAGTGTTTGTTAATACAATTTTTTGCTAACTTGAAATTTTAATTTCCCTCTGAATAGTATGCTATCAAAATTAATTATCTCAATAATTATTGTTTTTATCAAAAAATGTTTTAAATAAAATTTGTTTCAATTTCGATTTTGAATCAATTATCTTAATAAAAAATTTTTACATCTCTATTAATTAAGCATCTAAGTATAATTATGTATAAAAACGGAAAAATTATTATTTTGAGGTTATCTCCTTAATTATTGATTAAATCAAAAAAAATTGTTGACAAAGTTTGTTTAGAATTGTTTCAGGAACAATTTTTGTTAACACAATTTTTTTCTAACTTGAAATTTTAATTTCCCACTGAATAGTATGCTACAAAAATTAATATTTTTGAGGTTATATCCTTATTGTTGATTTAATCAAAAAATGTTGTTAACAAAATTTGTTTAGAATTACTTCAGGAACAGTGTTTGTTAATACAATTTTTTGCTAACTTGAAATTTTAATTTCCCTCTGAATAGTATGCTATCAAAATTAATTATCTCAATAATTATTGTTTTTATCAAAAAATGTTTTAAATAAAATTTGTTTCAATTTCGATTTTGAATCAATTATCTTAATAAAAAATTTTTACATCTCTATTAATTAAGCATCTAAGTATAATTATGTATAAAAACGGAAAAATTATTATTTTGAGGTTATCTCCTTAATTATTGATTAAATCAAAAAAAATTGTTGACAAAGTTTGTTTAGAATTGTTTCAGGAACAATTTTTGTTAACACAATTTTTTTCTAACTTGAAATTTTAATTTCCCACTGAATAGTATGCTACAAAAATTAATATTTTTGAGGTTATATCCTTATTGTTGATTTAATCAAAAAATGTTGTTAACAAAATTTGTTTAGAATTACTTCAGGAACAGTGTTTGTTAATACAATTTTTTGCTAACTTGAAATTTTAATTTCCCTCTGAATAGTATGCTATCAAAATTAATTATCTCAATAATTATTGTTTTTATCAAAAAATGTTTTAAATAAAATTTGTTTCAATTTCGATTTTGAATCAATTATCTTAATAAAAAATTTTTACATCTCTATTAATTAAGCATCTAAGTATAATTATGTATAAAAACGGAAAAATTATTATTTTGAGGTTATCTCCTTAATTATTGATTAAATCAAAAAAAATTGTTGACAAAGTTTGTTTAGAATTGTTTCAAGAACAATTTTTGTTAACACAATTTTTTTCTAACTTGAAATTTTAATTTCCCACTGAATAGTATGGTACAAAAATTAATATTTTTGAGGTTATATCCTTATTGTTGATTTAATCAAAAAATTTTGTTAACAAAATTTGTTTAGAATTACTTGAGGAACAGTGTTTATTAACACAATTTTTTGCTAACTTTAAATTTTAATTTCCCTCTGAATAGTATGCTATCAAAATTAATTATCTCAACAATTATTGTTTTTATTACAAAATGTTTTAAATAAAATTTGTTTCAATTTCGATTTTGAATCAATTATCTTAATAAAAAATTAAATTTTTTAAAAAATCTTTAATAAAAGCGTTTCTGCGTGTAGGGATGGACATTAAGGGTGATTTAAGCATGACGCCGATAGATATTGACCGACGAAAACCCGGATTAAGATAGCTGAAGGAGCGCCCTTTCTGACTGTGATAACAGTTTTTTAAAATTCGTTTTCGTAACAATTGCACAAGGCCTTGAAGTTTGGTAATTTTGAGCTATTTTAAGTACAGCGCGGTGTTCTTCATTTTTTATTGATCTTAATATCAACTTATCGGCAGACGAAAACCCGGTTTTAGATAGAGAAAGATTCAAGCTTTCAAGTGGTGCATTTAGTTTTTCGCTATCCCTAATTATAAGGAAGATATCAGCTAAGAAAGTAAATAGGAAATTACGGGTAAATGTTTGTTGCTATCGTCGCACGGTTTTATTTTTGTCGGTTTCGTATTAAAAGCAAAAGTTCAGGGTGTGTGTTCACGTATTAATAGGAGCTGTGTTCAGGCGTGTAAACCAACCGAGCAGCCGTTTTATGCTTTCTAAGAAGAACTCAAGCAGCCATATACCTAAGCATGTTATACATATATCGTGTTCTCCTTTTCAAAACTTCTCAAACTCATTTTAAATTTATTTTTAACCAACTACAAAAATATCTAACAAATTTCAATGTTCGAACTTACCTTCTTTTAGTTCTGCACACAAACCCACCCCCCTATTTTTCACATAATCCCTACGTTTCGGGGTTGGTATCTAAAATTCAATTGTGTTTACTTTGATGGTTGTTGCAAAATGGCCTCTGGGAAGCCATTTATAGCATCTAATGGATGATATAAGCTATTTAAGGGGTGTACGCGTGTGAACAACCCCTTAGGGTGGGATTTGTGCACGTGGTGATTTATTGTTTGGGATAAACGCCAAATACAAAAGAAATTTAAGATGGGATAGAATATTGCTCTCTTGCATTTTTGCTGTCAGATGCGTCAATATCGAGAAAAATACAAAAATATGAAAATGTACTAAATTTCCTTGTTTTACTATTAGCTAATGGTAACATTCGGGAATCGAAGCATATTACAAAAAAA